TCAGTGTATATTGCTATATGTATGTGGACACCACTGGAAATTGAGTTCAGGTGTTTTTAGTGAAAAGGTAGGGGAGGGGACAGGGATGTGACATCATCTCTCTTCCTCCAAAGAATGCCTTATATTCTGTACAAAAAAATACATGGCATTTTATGAATGGCCAATAGTGAGGAGGGACGGGTGATGCGACGGGAGCACGCTACTGTGCCCGGGAACTTGGTGTTATGTGCAGGAGATGGCATGCTGCATGGCCATTTTTATACTTTGCAGGGGCCCATCGCACATTACATTTTAATGGCAATGTACACACCCAGTGCGGTCTGTAAATTACAATGTTTTCCTGGAACGTGGCTTTGAGTTGCATCAGGTTTACAGGAAGTACAAGCTCCATCTCTTGTGTAAACACAGAATTAAAATGTGTCTCCAATAAATCCATAGCTTTGATGTGGGTAGGTAAGCATTCCAGTGTTCAAAAGTAAAAGGGAACAAGGCATGTACGGAATCCAAATACAATCACTCTGTCCCTCATAGACACAGCAAGACTACAAAATATGAATTATGAAAAAATAGTAAAAAACAAACCATGGTCTAGAATACAAAATAACATTTATAGTTAATAATGGGGTGAAAACATAACATTTGATAACTAGTTATTTCTGTGAAGTAAAGTTTATGTAAAAACTAAATTCTGTATATGTTACATCTACTTTGTGCTACATCCAAGACACCCCACTACGCTGACTTTCATTTTCTGTCTCTAAAACAAGCAAGGATTTAAACGGTCACATGATCCCAGGTGACACCCCAAGGGCAGAGAAGACACCACGGCACTGAAGACACTGACTGGACGGACAAGAAAACATTGTCCCTGCCGATGAAACCGAGATAAGTCAAAGCTGAACTTATTATTTAACAGAGAGCTCAGCAGAAATGCTCAAACCAATACAATTACAAGTCAAATGGAAAAACTGGGGTTTGAGGGTCGGATTTTCTCTGATGGAAAGTTCTAAAGCCCTAATGTATATGCATGTTAAAGTGGTGCTCACTGCCAACACCTAAAACCATAAATTTCAACATATAACAGAGAATGAATGAAGATGAGAACATTGTTCAGTGACTAAAAATAAAGTGCTGCCAAGAGCAATAAAATATGAAATGAGTCAATAAAGTGGTATACACTATTGCCACACAAGTTCATCTAGTGAAGCCAGGAAATATGATCTCAGCAGGACAGAATTATAAAAATTAGAGAATAGGTCTCTTCTGTCAGCCAAACAGATGTCGGTTTTTACTTATTCAAGGCAAAATAACAGGATTGCTTAAAGCTGCCCATACACCTTACAATTATCTGCAGATTTTCTGTGGTCAGATGGAAAAAGTGCAACAGATTGGCCCAGGTGGAGGAGATTACTCTCCACAATTTCTATCCACCTATAAAATAACCTAAGGCTGCCTATTTATAACGTCTGTTTGGTCTGATGTTTATTTTCCCCTGCAGACTGCAAATTATAGCCGCCTTAGGCAACCAGTCTCTCTCCAAATACTGCAGAACTACATTTACCAGCATGCTTGTCAGCTTCAGGAGAGCCGTAGGCTGCATGTCTGTGTAATGTAGCATACTGAGGGGATGCACAGATAACATAAAACTACAGTATTCTCAAAAACCATAACAGGAGGAGAAAAATCTTAAAATCTGGGAAATGTAAAAGGAAGAGATACCTAGCAATACAACAGCACATTTCATGTTCTGTGTATGTAAAAATATACAAACTGCTCTATACATTGCATTCTGTGTATCTGGAATCTAATCTCCTGCATTTACAAATTTCAGCAACGAATACCTTCAGAGAGGAGTGCATGGAGAAGGTAGAAATATATTTACTGATTGTGCAGTGACTGTAGTAACGCTATTTGAAGGGAGTATGTCCAAACAGAAGTATGAGAGGATGCAAATGCAGACTTGTTTTAAAAGTGGGAGTTCCAAGTCTGCTAACTTCATCCTGACATCACTACACAGAATGTCATTAACCTGGAGTCAGTGAGGAAGTAACCTAGGGGTTAGTAAAGCAAGAATGAAAACACACTAGAAGAATGAACACTAGAAGCTGCAATTTCAAAACCAAGTCGGAAATGGCAGCTTTCAGATTTGTTTACCAAAATGTTCCCTTTAATAAAACTGATAAGATGTCTTTTCCAGGAGGACCTCATCACAAATTCCAACTATGCTGCTGACATGAATTAACTGACATCACCGATTGCTCCATTTCTGTCCTTCTGCGGTGCAGTATTTCTAATGAATAGACATGACTAGGCTTAATCACCCACAGTCTCAAACATCATGTCTTTTTTAAGGAATCCAGTGGTGGGACTTCAGCTATGAACTACCTGGCTTTATCACCTACAACCTGACGCTTACTTTTCCTCTACTTCTTGCATAGTCAGATGTCCTCTTAAGGGCCTGTTCACACCACTGCTTTGCGATAATGTTTTCTCTGCCGCATCCTGCAGTGCCACTACTGCGTGTTGTAATACAGCAGGTACAATTGTAGGTCTCTTGTGGTGTATTAGGTTGCCTAGTCAAAAGAATAGACTGCCTGAATGCAACACATGTTGAAAGCGCCACAACAAATCGCCCTGGTGTGAATGGGCCCTGATGACCATGGCAAATGAGTAGGAAACAGGAAGACTGATGAAGAGATCCCACCAACAAGGCCCCTAAGAGACACACAAGTAGGCTGTAGTTAGATCAGAGGTTATATAAACTTTTACACGGTCATTTAATGCTGTATGTTATTATTATGAACCAACCTTAATACTGCACTGAAGAGGGTATAATGGTGACTGAGAATGTTCTACGCTTTCGGATTCTCTATTTCGGGATATTTCATATCAATGCACATAAAATGTATCGAGCAGAAAGGAGAATATAAGGACCAAACAATACCTCTTTAAGAATTTACTGGTATTGCTTTCAGTATTTGATCTTGCCACTTCCTAAGCATGGCCACCAAGGAGAATAAACCTTACCTGTAAACAAAACAAGCCAGTAATACAGGAACATATTCACTGCCATGTAAAACAGATCTGGTTACGAAAATACAGGGTCAGACTTCATCGGTTTACCAACTATAACTCAACAGACAATGTACAAAAGACTACACAAACGTAGGCCTTTAGTCACTGAAAAATATTAGAACATACAACGATAATGTGCTAAGACTGCACTATATGCATTATGGAATAGAAAGAAGTTTGAAAGAAAAAAACAAAAAACAAGAACATTTTCAAAGAGCAGTTAAACACTAAAAATAGAATTATCCAGTCTTTACAAGTAGATAATGAATAGGAACTTTCTAAGGGTAGCAGATATTATTCTGCAGTGATATACAACTACATAAAGGTATCTGAAACTATTACATACGCTAGATCCTGTGCTGCCTGGCAGCTTGGGTTGGAGTTTGTAGTGCAGTTAAGGTAAAGGTGGGCAGCTGTGTTGAGATTAAGGCACCTCCTCCTGGTTTGGGAGAGCTGTTGCATTGCTTTGATTCCTTAGGGTACATACGGTAGAAGCACAGAAGTATGGGCAAAGCCCTGGGTGAGGTGGTGTGCATGTACGTGACTGTACATAAGGTGCTTTCTTCAAGGTAAACTGAAACTGGAGGGATCAACGTGGAGAGAAGCCAGTGGCCAGGCTGCCACCCACTGTAGGTGTCATGTCCCAGATCTACAAACACAATAAAAACAAATATGTCATAGGCATACACAATTATATTCTTTAGTCATACATTAGTGGAAGCCATATGCCATCATTGAAGACGTTCCTTTTTAGGCAAAATGATTAAATGTGTTTATAAAAACAGTCCATATTTATGGTGGCGGCCATGTAATCCCCATTGATTTACTATACCCTATGATAATCTAGTGTAGTAAGGTTTCACTTTCAGCTAGTCACTGTAGCTACCTGACCTCTACATAGATGGGTAGAAGAAAGTTCTCCTTCTGCACCAAAACTAACAGGATTATTCACAAAAGGGTGAAGAGTTTGGAGAAGGCAGGAGAAGTGAACGATCTAGGACAACATAGCTGAACTGGAAAGTGAGCTCAATTGGAGAATTTTTCCAAATCAGTTATGTTGTCCTAGATTGTTCACTTCTCCTGTCTTCTCTAAACCCTTCACCCTTTTGTAAATAACCCTCTAAATATCTAATTTGATCTACTTAAAGCAGATGTTGAATGAAAAAAATAAAATAAATTGCTTTGTAAATTTCTTTGCCCTAATGTGCATGTATGTGCAGCACACTTTGCATACAAGTGTGCCCTTCACCAGCATTGTCAGTTCGATCTTCGGTCCTCAGCTCTGTCCCCTGCCATCTCCGCCGTGACACTTCTGGGTTATTGGAAGACGTCTTCAGCCACTGAGTGGTCACTGATAATGACTCCTGTGCGCATGCTCCCCGACACCCGGCTCATTCACAGCATCTTAGAGATGCCGTGAATAGTCTGTACACTGCATGGCACATGTACCATATGGTGTACTAAAAAAAAAAAAAAAAGAAGAAGAAGAAGAAATTGCTGAGGGAGAGGGGAAGAATTTTTTTGCCCATAAAAACGTTGCATGTCATGCAATGCACATATATTTGTAGTTTTTGCCAAGAGTGCCACTTTAATACACTTTCCTAGGCGCAAATATATTGATCTGTAAGGATAACAGACATGCATTCAGTCATAAAATGTGACCCCCATAATGTTTTCTAACTGTATACATGCACACAGATTCCTACTGTCCATTGTCAGTCAGGAAAATGAGTGTCCGGTGTCTAAAGGCAAAACAGACAACATGTACAAAGATCACTCAGCTGGAAACTGCATGAATAATTCGGCTTTGTTCTCCACTGTTACAACAAACATTAGACATTGCTTAACCAGCAGGTAAATCGGATCACATAGGTGGGGCTCTACTGACCCATTGGACTTTGAAAGCTCTTTCAATACCTATTGGATTTTACTCTAATTGTGCTGCTTTTCAAACACACAATTCCCGATTTGTTCTGATATTTCACACAGGACCACAGTGTAACTTTTAAACCATGAATATCCTACAACACTTTACTTATGTTTTTACACAGTTTGCACTTTTGATAGTTTGTACTGTTACAAACTGCACATGAAACTAATTTATTTTTTATTTTTACCATTTGCACTTTGAAGGTTCAAAAAATATTTCACAAACCTATTAGATAAAAAAAAACAGCCATTTGTTGGCTGCAGAAGTATTCACACCTGATTAAATATGGTTTGAATCATGTCC